TATATATATATATATATATATATATATATATTGTTCTTGTGCCAAAGGCCAAACCTGTTATACTAGGAATATATGTTCAGAATAAGAACATGCTAATGTAGCATAACGTGCTTAAATAGAGAAGAGTATTATGACTTATATTGTGACCTTCTTTATAAATGTATTAATTGAATGTTCAATATCTTTATGGGTGAGAAATGACTTGTTGTTATCGTGGGCCACTTGTTGTTTCTGTGATCAGGTCTCGGTGTGAAGGTTTTTTAAGATGTTAGGAAATTATGATATTGCTGTATTTCACTGTGAGTCTAAATATCCCAATGACAATCACCTCTGACCTGTTTTCTTTAATGGAAGCACTACTGTTCATCAGGTAACTTGATGCTTGATTGTTTTCTGCTTATGTTAGAAGCAGGTTTCACATTTTCCCTAAATAAATGATTCCCAGATATGTGGACCCTGTCAGCGGGTCACACAATAATTATTGAAAATGAAGAAAGAGACATATTGTTCTGCTAAACACATACAAAATAATATATTTTATATTTAAATGTAATATATTTATATTAAGATTGCCATTGGTTCTCTGATTCAATATTTCATTCAGGGTTAATTTTTCTGTATCACTCATGTGCCTTTTGTTTTTCTGTTACACTGTGAATGCTACTTGAGGTAAATCCTAATTTATTATCAATAGAATATTCATCTCTTATCTCATCTTACTGACACAACAACTGAATGATAATGAAAACAGTCATGATCTATATGTATTCATGTAATAATTGAATTTAAATACGGATGGGTTGTGTTTCACTATTTCTGTAATATTATTCTTCATTTTTAATAGCATTTTTCAGTTTTGACCGAACTATGCTTGTGATCCTAACTGCCAAATATCCACGAGAAAATGTAATTATTATTGCAAGTCAATGTATTCAGAGGCTATGTGGTTCTTAATGATGAAGCTTGAGCATAAACACTGTCCCCTCTAGTTGTCTGTGGTTAATGTTCAGTTTCTTTGTTTAGTAGGGGGGTTTCAAAACTCATTAAAACAAGCATCTGAAATCTTAAAAGCATGAGACTGTTTTCTTTAGCTTCTCCATCCCTTGTTCGTTTGTTGTTCTACCCTTTTGGTTACAACAGATCACGTTGGGACAAACCATGGGGGGCAGGTAGGGAGGAATGCAACAGGGGACTCATTGTCCCAGTTTTGGCTGATGCTCATGTAGAGTAATGCAACTATCTCTCTCTCTCTCTCTCTCTCTCTCTCTCTCTCTCTCTCTCTCTCTCTCTCTCTCTCTCTCTCTCTCACACACACACACACACACACACACACACACACACACACACACACACACACACACACACACACACACACACACACACACACACACACACACACACACACACACGCGCGCACACACACACACACACACATTAAATCCGTGGTGCCCCAGTGAAGGAATGCACAGCTTGGTGCAGAAGATGGGAGTGAGGACAGCATGTAGTGCACATTTTTGGAAGTGAGGAAAGTGTACTGAAATATTATAAATATTTGTCAGTGGTGAAAACGTACTCATATCTTATACTTAAGAGAAAGCGAAGGAGTCAATATTTTCTAAAACTAAATTACAAAGTAATAGCATTCAGGCAGATTGGCTCCATTTAAGAGAAATAGTAAACTTCATTGTATTGATGTTATTTATGTGTTAATGCACAACATCATTGTATTTTTTGCAGCATGTAAAGGTGTGTCTAATTTGAACTACTTCATAAACAGCATAGTTCAAACTGTAATCAAGCAAAATAATGTATTTGTTGATTATATTTGTAAAAGTACAGTACTGAATTACTGTCTTAAAGGCGCAGGACAGTGGGCATTCTGTGTGTGCAGCTCAGTTTATGGGACTATAACAAGTTAGTAGTTCTTCTTGAACAGTAGGTGGAGCTGTTGCCAGAGTATGTGTGGATCTTGCCCTCCATGCTGTTCTGGCACACACACACACACACACACACACACACACACACACACACACACACACACACACACACACACACACACACACACACACACACACACACAGGAAAACAGAACCTAAATACACACAGGGCTAATCAAACCAACAAGACACAGGTGAGGAGGGAGGAGAAACACAGGGCACCAGGTGAACGCAATCACCAGCAACAGACAAGACGGGAGGGGGAACACTTTTCAAACTAAAACAGGAAACAGAGACAGACAAACTAAAACATAGACAAATCGTGACAAATATATGCATACATTACATATAATCACATGCTTCCTGTGCAATGTTTTAGCGTGGAACAAAGTAATATACTTCGCCAATAATGAAGCTATATAATCCGTAACGGAGACCGAGATCTATGGCCCCAGAGATCACCTCCGTTACAGCGTGGTCATGGTTTAACTCCAATAGAATTGACTCTGCATTTTTGATTGCACTCTAGAAGCTATGAGTAATAAATACACTCCAAAATGATTAAATATCACTATTTCAGAGCAAAATAGTAATTACTCTGGAAAAAATACTCACCAATATTTCCTGTGTAGCTCTTTTTCTGAGAGGTGTGGCTTCATAACTCTCCTACCTTTATTTTGCAACATGTACGGTAGAATAGAAATACTCAGATAACATTCACAAATCAAGTAGTTCTTACTTTTGTGGCACTGCGTTTTTTAGATTGAAACATTGATAATCTATTTTTAGTAGTGCCCCTTTGTGACCTCAAACAACAGCTAATGGCCCTGATGCCGAGTGAGTTAACAGAAGAAGCTACACGATGTTAAATAACTTCCCTGTCATACAGTAAAGTGCCAATAACATCTCATAACACATTATGGTCGCCTATTAATCATGCTAGAATATTATGTTTGTTTTTGCTTTTTGGCGTTGCACTTTGCAGACGATCCCTGGAGCTTGTCTCTCCTACGGCTGCAGAAAGAGACCGATGAATGTTGTCCGGCTCGGAGGACGGGCTTCTTTGAATAAAAACTAGGTTGCAGCTTGTTGTTTACCTTCCTACGGATTATATACGATTGTGTTTGTGTTTTAACAAAGATGTATTTATGAGTTATTCATCTGTCAAGTTCGAATCTGTCAATAACCTTCTAACTTTACCGAACTGCTCAAAGGGACCTGTCACTTTCCGCAGCACCTGTTGGCTGAATCGTATTGTTTATCTTAACGTTTATTTTATGTTATGATATTAATATAAAGTAGCTCTGCTGCTGTCCGTGGTGCTGAATGGGCTTTGAACCAAGTTGATGTAAACGTTGCTTAGCTCCTCTTACAGATAGTGTGTGTTTCCACTTGTGTGTTATATTTGGAGTTCCTTTCAAAACATTTTAAAAAATTCTATATTTTGATTGGTTTGGCAACCTTTACAACAAATAAGCAACTTCTTGATTTACATCTCAGCTTTTAGCAACATACATAATTACAATGTGCTTTAATATAATTAAAAAAAACGTGTTCTTATAGCTGTTGTTATTTTGTAGAGCTAAAAATTACGCAACCAAGTGAGATAAAAGAGAGAGAAAGAGAGATAGAGAGTGTGTGTGTGTGTGTGTGTGTGTGTGTGTGTGTGTGTGTGTGTGTGTGTGTGTGTGTGTGTGTGTGCGCGCGCGAGTGTTTGTTAGAGAGAGAGAGGCTGGTACTGTACGCCTTCCCTAATAACCAACAGAAGCTGCAAGGGGCGGTGTCTGACAGACTGATAGAGGAGCTGCTGCCACACAGCCTCCACTTTTACGCATCAGTTGTTTGTGTCGAGGTGTCAATGCTGAGTTTACCTTGGATTTGGATTTTAGACAGAAATTACGACAAGGGTCTTTACATCGTAACTCGGTTTTAAGCTCCATCCAAAGTGAAGCATACACCAGCGGAGTGTGTGTGTGTGAGTGTGGAGCCAGAAAAGTTTCCGTCATGGGAGCGCATGGATGGAGATCAGCGCGTCTTGTGTTTGTCGTCTGTGGATATTTAGCGTTTTTCTTCGGGGAACTTGTTCCGCGGGCTGAGGCGGGCTGCAGGGGGAGGGAGAGCCCAAACTGCTGCACCGGCCGGAACAACGAATGTTTTGAATACAGCAAGAGAAAAACAGTGTGCTACTGTGATACCTACTGTCAGAAAACCGGGGACTGCTGCGAGGACTATCAGCGCGTGTGCCAAATATCTGGTGAGTTGCTTATTTTATCCTGCACAACGACATTTGACATAAAATGCATTTATGCTTGGAGGGATCGTAGCTCAACGTTGTTGGTAAAGGAACACCTATCCTGTTCAGATTGAGTCCTCAGTGACGCCTGTTGTGCATTGTTGTCCCGTTTGAGCCAGATATGGCTGGCATTGAGGTGACATGGAGACAGTGAGACATACTACACATAGATGTCTGGTTGTGCTTTATAGAACATTTTTCAACAGCTGGTTGTGAGTATTGGTTTTTAAGTTTGTAGGGTTGACCTTTGAACTAACAATCCAGTCCATTAAGTGGTTGCAAAGTTAGGTGAGTTTGATCATAACAAAGTCCCAAATCATCACCACCAATTCCACCTTAACAAAAATAAGAGTACTGTGCAATATGAATCACCAAATCAAGTTTGATTATTGACCGAATCTTTCAAATGTGAGTGTATTTAACTTCTTCCATCATCATGGCTGCTGCAATATATGGACAAATAAGGAAATGAACACTAGTGGAACAGACTGCCAAAGAAGGTCAGGATTACAGTAGAGCTGTCTCTGAGATGTGACAGAGAGAAAAACACTCAAACTAACTGAGCTCTTACAGTATGTCATCTTAAGTGCACACAAACAAGCACCTGCTGGGCCAAGCCTACTAGTCAAAGAGCACTTTAATGCTGCAGGGATCCCTCTATTTAGGCACATTCATTGTGTACATGGTGAACCTTTTTTGAGTGATGTATCTGTGCTTTGAAGGGAACAGCCTGCCGCGTCCAAACTTGAAACAATCACTTAAAAGTGTGTACAAAAGTACTTTTATGGAAGCTGTAATTTATGTATTAGACCACACTGTTTATGGTTTACTGCCAGGATAGCTGAACCCTCTTTGAGTCACTCTTTAACAGCAGAATGGTATACTACTGCACATACTTTCAAAAGTGACATACTATATGATTTCTTTTCAACACTTTAACAATAGTTAATTGGTGCTTAAATGCATGTTTAGAATTGGAAGAACCCTCAAGCTTTATTTTACTTTTAATACCTTTTTCCACTTCAAGGTTTGCGAAACGGCAGAGGTGTGTCAACTGGCAACAGCTACTTACTACAAATAGGAAGAGATATTACATGCTCAGATCACAAATTGAGTTTTTTATCCACCAAACAGTCAAAGTTGAATAAACAGAGAGCAGCCAGCTGAGGGGAGTCCATGCAGCACTTGATCTTTCCCATCTGTCTGCCAAGCTGAAATTTAGCAGAATGAGCTCAGGAGAGCACCTCAGGTCAGCTTTGACTCATCACTGCACTGTTTAACAGCAGCTGGTCCTCCGCAGGTCAGCTAACTGCCGCCATGCACATCGGTTCAAGGAGGAGGTATTCATCACAGTGGAGGCTCGTGTGTTGCTCTGACAGGTCAATGAAGATGTGACACAGTACAGAAGAAAATGACACAGCAGTGTGATGCAGGTGTTACAGGTTAGAAGATGTTTCCAAGATGAATGTGAATATCTGTAAATCAACTGAAAAGAAGAAATCATCTACAAATTGGTAACATTTATTCACACAACTGTAAATTATAAAAATGTGTATAGTGTGTTGTTTAAGGCTTTATGGTCTATTGTTTTAATCTGAACATGAACATAATGTCAACATGACATGGACATGACCTACAAATGCTGAATGGATCAGTGAGTGGTGCTGTGAAAATCACCTCGACTTCCTCCACCTGCAACCTGAGCATCTCACCAGTATAAACACAACATGCATCATGTGGCTTGGCTCACTTCCATCAGAGCGCCCTCACCCACTTTATACTCAGACCTTATCTGATCCTGATCCTGCAGATCTGCAACGCATCAAGGAGTCTGTCTGTGTACTGTCTGTCACAGTCTGTAATTTAGTCGTGTCAGCTGGAGCTGTGCAAAGAGCTTTGAGTGGGTGACAGAAAAAACTGGCAGACTACTTGCACCACTTGGACAAAAACACTTACAACTCTTTAGAGTTGAAACGCTTTGCTCTAGAGATGTTGTTCGAATGAAATACTTATTTAGAATGAAGAGAATGTTCCTGTGAACTGGGAGGTATGAACTTAAAACAAGAGTGTGGTGGAAAACAAATTCTCCCTACAACACACAAAGTAACGCATCTTAGAAGGATGGGCCATGCATTTCTTGGCCTGTTTAAATTTAAACACTGTTGTCTCGCAACTATAAGGTCTTTCTGCATCAGACGGGTATGTTGGCCAATTACCGGTGTGTTCTTGGGAGTTGTAGAACTTGAAAGATTTTGTGGCGTGTATTTGCATAAGTAAATGACACCATTTGTAATCTACACAACTCTGCATAATCTGGTTTCTATCTAGGTTTCTAGATTTGTTTCTAGAAGTATTCTTCATTATCTTGATAAAGCTAGCCTTTGTGCAAGTTATCCTTCTCACAAATACACTAACAAAAGTAAAAAGGGTTACTTCTCTTAAGCATAATAAAGCATCCATCCTTTTCTAAACATACTGTACTGGTAAAAAGAGGCTTGGAACATGCACTTTAATTGGTGCTCCTTCAGGGAGGCTTTTAAGAGATATATTTTCTTGGATATTTCACTTTCTTCACCTTGATAGATAATTCATACAGAGAACTGAAAGCTGGTTCACTAACATAGAGGGACATAGCATATAAAGCATAAAAGGAGGAGGCAACTTAAACTTAATAAGACACATTTGCATTGAAAATCCAACGGGGGAGTTGTCTTCTGTGGTTGGAGTATTTCTGGTTATTTCCTTGCAGTACTATAGTAAGTCTGTAATTGCTCATTCCTCATCACAGTCTCTAGAGATGAAACTGTCCCACAGGAGGATCGAAGCTCATCTCCTCTGTCTGTGGTGTCTGGTAGTTCTCACTTCAGCAGGAAGACTCTGCCTCAGATACACCGGAGGTTTGCTCATTATTCATTCGTCTCTCCTACGGGGAACGGTATGCTGTCATGCCATGATGTTTGCTTCTTCCCACCTACGTTCACTCCCTCCTTTTCTTCCTTGCTCCCACTACATTCTCTCTTCAGCCTCTATTAGTAGTGAATGTTTGTTTCCAGGTTGGCTGAAAAGAGCCAGCTGTTGTAGTTTTTGCGACAAACCGTGTACCGTCCAGTTTCTCCCATACGGCATGCACCACGATAGATCTTCAATGTTGTTATTCTGATGCCCCTCGTCTGGCCTCTTCATGACAAGAAAATGCAAATATCTTATTCTATTTCCATCATCAAGTGTGTCAACAGTTTTCACAGGAACTGTTTCTTCAACAAAATGTTTTTACATTTGATTGATATTTTACAATTCTTCCATTCTGTGGCAAAAAGACAACTGCCTCAAAAGTTGATCAAATTAGACCAAACTGTTGTTCATGGCAAAATAGTGCTGGTAATAATAAGAAAACGCTTTATATTTAAACCTCAGTGATCCAACCTTTAAAGGACAAATGCCTTATTTACATACAAATACATTTTGAGCCATGCTAGCCGCATGGTTCTATGTAAAACAAAGTGGGTCTGTCAGTCTGTCCACCACTTTGATCCAGACTAATGATGATGGTCCCCAGTCGATGAATCCTACTGACATTTGGGATCCCCTGATTGTCCTTCTAGTACCACGCTGAGGACGAAAGTTGTGGCCGACTATGGATTAGCATGACATTTGTTTCACAATGGATTAGCATTAGTATGTTAACATTGTTATAATGAGCAAGTTAACATACTGGCATTAGCATTCAACTTGTGCTAATGTCAAACCTCACAGGGACACTAAAATGACTTTATCCTCTTAGTATACTATTTTCAAAAGCTTCCATTGAACCTGAGGCAGATGTGTACGTTTAGTGAACCAGCTGCTGTGCCTTTAATTCTACACATGTTGCCGCAACTGTGAGGTAAAGTGCACTTAGTCTTTGAAAATAAACAGACAAACCTTTCACTGACAAGAGAACATTTTTAGTTGCATCTCATGTTTTGCGTCATTGTTCTTTTGTTGCAAGGGAGTCATGATTAGGAATGATTATTTCTTCTATGTTTTACCATGTCTTCAGTTATTACAATTCAGCTATCATAAAGTGTTGGAAGGCCATGAAATGCAAACTATTATCGGCTGTGTTTGATATGAACCCTTTTAATTAGTCACTTTGCTTGGCTCCTCTTCTCGAGGTGTCTACAGGAAGCAGTCATGTAACCTGTTATTAGGCCTCAGTCCCGTGTCTTTCACCCCTTTTATCAGGCCTCTCCTTTTGTGTTGCTGAACATTATAAGTCTTGTCTGATGGGACCACAGCCCAGCTCTCTACATGGGAGGGGGGTTGGCTGTGGAGGGTTGGAGGTGCAGTGGTCCTTTAGAGCAGCTGGACATCTGGGTCTCATCAGAGAGTTGATGGAGGAAGAAAAGAGGGGGTGGGAGAGTGAAGAAGAGGACCAAAACAAGGGGACAGATGGGGAGAAAGAACAAGGGAGAGTGTGGGACAAAGTGATAAAGGGAGAGGAAGATAAAGCAAATTGGGCGGGCAGTGCTGATAAGTCTTTTGTTATGAAACCCTAAAAGGGAAGCAGCATTTAGGGAGAGCGAAAGTGAGAGCGAAAGAATGCCAATATGCCATTATCTCACTGTATCAAGTGTGACTGGAGATTAGTTGACAAGTAAGGAGATAACATTTGCTGAGGTTGGATACACATTCAGTGGTTCGATTCATTTAAAAGCATGTGTCTGCAGCTCTGACAACAACCAGGAAAAAATGCTGAAAAAATTCCAAATTCCAAACAAACCCATTTTACATTAATCTCAGCATTTCTTTTTTAATTGTAGCTGTAACTGAAGCTTCCATGTCCTGATCACTTGAGGAGACTTTGCGCAGCTCCAGATGAAGCCACAAAAGGTTTATACACTTCCTTCTCATATGCAATCCCTCAAACCTGTAAACATACTTGGATGTGTAGAAGTGGTGGTTACCCTTTAAGTTATACGTTATTAAGATTCAAAGTCAGGTTATCTGTTGAATCATTTCATTGACAGTAATTTGATTTAAATGTCATTTGATATTAAATCCTTGGTAATTGGTACACATTATTGAGCCCCAACTAGTAAAAACTAACATTCAGGATCTATGAGGTTAAATAACAAAAACACACATTTTATTTTGGCCTTCAGTTTAAATAGCTCGAGTCAGTTTGTCAATGTTTTAAAAGTCACTTTAACATTTACTGTGTGCCTCCTAAATATTGGACGATACAGACCTAAGTAGCCCATAAAACACTGTCTCTGTTTAACAATAGAAGCCTCTCTGAGCGGAAACAAAAACTTAAGAGTGCTTGAAACCACTTTGTAAAAATACCAGCTGATGGAAAAGACAAAAGCGGAACATGCTGACAACGAGTGCCATTTGTTTCCTGTATTGGGGTCAGAGGTCAGAGGTGCTGGCATGCTTTCTAACTGGGGACTTTCTCGTCAACAATGGGGACAGAGGACAGCGGTGGCTGTAAGCTCTGTGGGTCAGGCTGTGTCAGGCTGTCAGCAGGGTTATCATGTGGGTGGTGGGACTGTCACTCTGCTGGTACTCGAAACAGAGTGGGGGACCACCACAGTTTGGTAATTGCCTTCTGACCTCTCGTGGCTTGGGGCCAACAGGCAGAGACTTCCAGACAGGGCCTTATTCCTGTGAGTGTGTTGGTGAGTGTGTGTCAGTGTCCATCAGTGGGGTAGCCCCTTTTCCCCTCAGGTGGCGGGAACTCGCTGACTCTATCGGTTTCATTGGACACCCTCGGCAGTAAAGACCTCAACTGCCCTGCTTGCTCGTGTTTTTCCCAACATAAGAAACAAAAAACAGCAACATGTAAACTTCCCCTGGGAGCGTCTGAGGATGTAGAAGAGGAAAGGAAAGGCGAGGAGTAAGGATAAGAAGAGGTGGAGGGGGCAAGAGTAGGAAGCTGATACGGTGTTGGTGTGATTCGATCACGCCCTTTAGTGTTCTTTCAAGAAAGTTCCCTGTACAAGTCTACACGGTGTAATGTGTATGTCTGTGTGTTTTAGGGTGATGATTGACGTTGGAACAGACCCAAGTGGGTGGGTTTATCTGACAGAAATTGTTTTTTCGATGTGGGTGTGTGTGATGATCTGGGAAAGGCGAGTGTCAGGTGGGCAGCACTAATGTGCAGGAATGCAGAGATTCCACAGTGGCTTTGTGGATCGACTGTGTCACTGAGACAGCTGCCCCCCCTCCGAAACCCCAACAGGACCATGGGAATAAACCGCACAGGCGGCACCTTGAAAGCTCTCTCTCTCTCTTTCTACTGTTCACACACACACACACACACACACACACACACACACACACACACACACACACACACACACACACACACACACACACACACACACACACACACACACACACACACACACACACATACTTATCCACTTGCAGCATTGTACTGTGGTGTGAGTGTGTATTATAAAGACAGAGTGAGGTAGATTAGATGGCGAGGGAAGATTAGATTCAGTGATGGTGTATTTATCCTCTCCCTCCCTATAATTTCATCAAGAACATCTGAGAGCTTCAAGCTGTGCACCTGCTTTCATTAAACCTTTAATGCCGGCAATAGAAGGAATACTAACATCATTATTGAATGTTTTCACACATGTATATTTATTTTACTTTATTCCTTTGGTTTAATTATTACAAAAAAATGTGAATTTGGCAGGATGAATTGATCTGACTTGCAATAAAGTATTAAAAAAACACACATCAACATCATACTTTGTGAATAAAATGGTGTGTACTTATATTTTTGCATTAATTAATTTGTGTGTTTGTTGGAGTGCCCCTTTGCTTATTTGTCTTTGTGTTTATGGAGTGGGCACTTCCTTCTTAACAAGGCTGTTAAATGTCTGCCGCTTTTAAATCTCTGTGTTGAACAAAGCTTGATTACTTGCTTTGATCAGAGCAGCCATCTAACTGATACAGCTTCCTCTTAGCCTGATGTAATTGGCTAAATCAGCCTACTGAACAGGAAGCCTGATTGCTGCTACTGCTGTGTTTATGTGGTCTGCAGTTTGTGTGTGTGTGCGTGTGTGTGTGTTTAAGTGTGTAGAAGAGGGAAACCAGAGAGAACAGGATGCATAATTAGCCCCTTATTTAAATGGCACCACACATGCGACCCGGGTCACAGACTTCCTGTGTCTGGGGTTCAGCTGATCTGACATTAGTAGATGGTAATGACCCCTTCACTCGCTTGCCGCCTACCATGACCTACCTGAGTAAATGCTCAGTACAATATAATGCAGCTCCATATCTGGGTGTGTTTGCAACTCATACTTTCAGCCATGCAGTTAGGCATGACAGCAACGATTAGGGGAAAGTTTGCATCTACCTCTGGGGTTAAGATCCAAACCATTTTTCAGAATAGTTGACAGCTGGAGAGACCTTAAAAAAGAAACTGTTTTGATAACAATTTGATAATCTACGTTACAAATTACATTAAAGGCTGCTTTTAACCTCTCTTATATGGTGTTTCCTGATTTTGTCTGTTTCATATTATTTAAAACTGATATGCTTGGACTCTATGCTCCTTCTTTGTATTACTTATTCTTATTTAGTGACTTTCCTTCTCTCTGTCTCTCTGTTTCCCTAGCAGCCATTGACTGTGTGGTGGGATCTTGGGGTTCATGGTCATCATGCACAGCTCCGTGTGGAGTGGGCAGCACAGAGAGGAGTCGCCTAGTGTCTGTTCCCCCGAGAAACGGAGGCACGCCCTGTCCTGACCTCAAACAGCGTCGAGGATGCTTTGGAAACAACGCCATATGCAGCACTGCCAAAGGTACGTTTGTGAGATTTTCTACATGCCCCAATGCTTGTGTTTATATTATGATGCACGCACTTCAGCTCTGACCTCTGGTACATATTTATCTGGTGTTTCAATATTCTCTGGGGTAAACGCTGTTAATGCTTTTACTGTAAATAACAGGCCTTATCTCCAGCTGCACTATTTCATCTGCCTCAGTTATGCGCACACTATTGAATCACCTTCTTAAACACCAGAACACAGATAAACACTTTTTCAAGTAGATTTCCAAGAACACCACTTTGAGTCATTTGCTATATTCATTTTGAGTCATGGTATGAGCTCTAACAGATAAAATGTAAGATGTGTTTATACTTTTCTGTAATTTATTTTTAAAAGATTATTTTCAGTGTAAGTAAGATTTTCACTCTTGTTTTGCATTTCTACCTTTTTGTCCCCACACCTGACTTGCAGAGGTGGCAAAGATCCTGCCTGATTCTTTCAAGAGGAACTTCAAGGACCCTTGGAGACGACCACACATGCTGATGAAGGAGGAGAAGGCCAGGTAGGGCCTCTATGATCAGACTGCAACAAACACACAGACTGCTCACGACTGACCCGCGCTGTTTTGTCTGTAGTGCTGGCTATCATGTGCAAAGAGTGGGTTATTACAGCCCAATTGCGTGGGGCATTGCTTAATATATATATTTCTATAGAGACATTGACTTCTTACAGTAACATAAGATTTACAGTGTTCCATTTCTAAAACATCTATGCTTTTCATTTAGAATTTACCAGCTCAATATGTTGATAGCATATCTTTAAAAGCATAGCTTTAACTAATGACTACATTTAAACATTAATATACAATGCTTTTGTGCCAGTAATCATTTTATATAAGAAAAGTGTTTTAGTTAGAGCCACTTTTGTTTGAGTTCCAAGCCTCAAGGCTGACTCTTAACCTTTCTGACGCAGCTGGAATTATATTTCAGCTCCATATCAGTTTTTTCTCAGTTTTGACTTAGTTCCAAAGGTCACTCTGAAATCAACTTGTGCTCCCAAAGATTAGAGAATAAAGACCAAGTCCAAGGTTGCGATAGCAGAGCTTTGAAATTGCTTTGACTGTGTAACATTACTACAATCATGACTATTTGACTCACGAGCTAACCTTCTCTGATAAGGCAACCATAATTCATGTAAGAGGCAAACTCTCCCTGCATGGATGTCATCTTTGATCTGAGCTGATTGCAGATGTTGTCAGAGCAGAAACATCAGAAATCAGGGAATAAAATGACTGCTTGTTCCCTGATCGCCTTCAAACCTTTCATACTGATTAAGATGGACATTGGATACTTGTGTTTTGACTGAAATACAGAGCATCAGGGGATTGGTAGCACATTACTCAAACGTGATCCATCCAGCATGGATGACACTGAGTTAAAGGGATTTCCCACAGACATCTGGTTCCCGTGGGTCCCTGGTGTTGTCATTGAAATTGACCCAAAGGGACGAGGAGTTAAAATGATATGAAATGATGGTCTGTATTTGTCTTTGGGACTCCAGTTATAGCTGGGAGATTAGCTGAATGAGTAATATTTCATGCTAATGGTGAGGTAAGAAATGGTCAGGATTCTGTTATGCAGATCTGACTTTAAACTCTTAAAGGCTCAACACAGAGCAGAGCTAATATCTTTTAGGAATTAAGACATAATAATATTTTATCTTTTTTTTTGTAGAGTGGTTTGAGGTTTTCATTATTTAAATGTTTTGCAATTCAAACCTAATTATGGGGGGTAGGGGGTACCCTCAAGTAAATGCATGTGCACATGAACTGAATGTGGTATGTCCTTGTTATATGTATTATATATTCTTTTCTGCGTCATTCTTAAACAATCCCAAGCTATATTTTATTGAAAAGGTCTGATCTAAATCCATCAAGCATAAATTATTTTTGAATTTGAGTTGTCACTTTTCTCTACTTTCTGCACCTTATATTCACTCCTTTTTATTTACATTTTCTCATTTAACCTTGACATGCAAGCATGGACATTCGACATGAGAAGAACATTTTAAAAATATTGATGAAAAGAAAATGTTATAGTTGGAAAAAGTCTGGAAGAATCACTGATAAAAACTGCAGCGTTATGTTTTCTTTGACAAACCTTCCCACTGGGGATGGTGTTTTGTCACAGATGACTGAATCAGAGACAAAATAAATGGTGCAGATGTTCAAAGTGCTCGCCAGAGAACATAGTGAACAGAAAAACAAGACTTTATTATTATTCCCAGTACAGACTGAGGTGTGTTTATATTAGGATACTGCAGGTGACCGTGACATGTGGCTGTTTGTGATTTGTGATGTGAGTGTTTAAACCTGGCTTGTGTCTCTGTGCCTTCATCTGTTTTCCATTTTCCTGTTTTGATGTTGATGGCGCAGAGGTTTATGTGACGTAGTGATAAAGATCCAAAGCCTAATCCAAGAAACAACAACATTAGATGTGGAGCACTCGGATAAAGAGTTGTGAAATAGTTCTCGCTTTAGACCCAGAAATGTGTGATTTGACCTTATGACCCATGTTCTTTCCCAAATATTAGAATCAATTGTTTGTGAAATGGTATCAATTATTGTTGAGACTTTCCCTCCCTCTCTGTACTCTGTGCTTGCAGTTACTGTGTGTACCTGCGGGTGAAGCAGGCCAGTGCAGCGTGTAAACTCAAACTGTGGAGCGCTCAGCTGGTGAGAGAGAGGCTGGTCTGTGCCGAGTGTCAGAGTGATGCCATGTCAAAGTCAAACCGCTGCGGAGGAGACGGCTTAGAAAGTACCCGGTAAACCAAGCAATGAAAATAAATAAAAAGACATGTTGATGCATTACACCACTGACAGTTTTACAGTTTATGGATGTGGGCCTCGACATCTATAAAGTTGCTTTTGTCATTTGGGGAACTTGGCTTAAGAAAACTAAAAATAGAACAATGTTTTTTCCCTTGTCAGCAAGTGAAAAGCCAGATAAACAAGGCACTGAGAGACTCATTCAAATATGTGTTATGACTTAGCATGCATTTAAACGTACAGTATGTTGAGTGTAGCTTAATGGATGTCTGGTGGATCAGGTAGCAGCTGCATCTAAAAGAAGGGAAACACCCTCCTCATCACAGATGGTATAATACTTTGTACTTGTTAGCTATCATCGTAGGTGTAATCATTTGCTGTGTAAACCGCAACTAGAATGAAATATGTTCATATATGTTTATATATTATATATTAAATAAATACCTTCATTACTTGTGCAATTAGCAACAATTAGTTTGGCAGGCTTTAATCTGTGAAGAGTATCCAGAATGTTAAATCTGAGCTCATAAATGCAGCTATATATGGGCAGTTGTAAGCCCTCTGTTCAACACACATTTTAAGTCTGCAGCGCCATGAAAAGCATGGATTTGTTCGTTTGACATTGGATCATTTGGAAAATTGTTGCTCCAAAATCATATTGGCCTCATCTTGTTTTAAAGTTGTTTTATTTGCATTTATTTGCGTCTTTAATGCAATGCAACTTTTGACATCTTTTTTAATTAATATCTATACTCTGCCAACATTACAGTCATTATGTGTAGAATTGTAGGCTGGGTTAACCCACGCATACATGTTCACCCTTGAATCTATAATGAAAAAAACAATTCAATTGTATTTTGTTCCATGCTTGATATATGTTCATTTTCTTCCTAGAACGTTCTGGGCGGCGGCTTCAGTCCCGGGCTGTCATGGTTCCTGGGTGCGGGAGTCGTCCTCTGAGGGATGTCGCTGTCCTCCCTACTCTGTGCTCTTCGTGTGAGCCCACATGCAGTTGCCAGATATCCGTACGCAGGGACCAGACTTCCCTCCGCAGCCCAAGGCCAGACCCTCCGATCCAGATTACTGGATGGGTAACTCTAGGAGATCAGCAGCATCCTGCCACTTTTTCCTTTCACCTCATAACTACTGTATACACACACACACACACACACACACACACACACACACACACACACACACACACACACACACACACACACACACACACACACACACACACACTGTACTGTATTTACTAAGCACACAGAAATTCTTGCATCCATCTGCAGATATTACAGCCACATTGTTTCCTTCAAATCACAACATCTATGCCTTTTTACCTCTAAATCTTTGCTATCTACCTCCATCAATGCAAGTGCATTTGTTAATGCATAATGTATAAATATATAAATATATAATTTTGCTTTATACATTTTCTACTTTTGATTGTTTATGTGTTATGTATATGCGTCTATATAGCTAAACTTATTAGTTAAACAGTTAAAACCCTAAACAGCAGTTGCTGCACCCAGTTTAGCCCCAGCCAGGATAATCACCTGCAGGCTGGAGATGCGGAAAACTGGCTCATCCAAATTGTATCCTATGCTAGAATCCTTAAGTCAATATATCTGTGTCTTGCAGTTTTGTCCCTGTTATTATTTCCTTTAAACAAAAAAAAACATTTATACCAGCAAGTCAGTTGAATATCAGGTATTGATTCTCAGGTGCTGAGATGTATGTCTTTGTCTCCCATTAAGTCCCTTTTTCCCATCCGCCTCCATCTGATGGTCAAATGTGTTAGTAGCTCTAAAGATGTTTTTAGGTTTAGTTTTAAAGACTAATGGCGGAAACAATTTCCATCTGTTTATACCTAATGTTGTTGGAGAGGGAAAAGAGCCATTTAAGAGAATTTCACTGTGGTTCTCTCTGTCCTCTGTGTCCAAGACAGAAACAAATTGCTTCTTAACTCTGTTTTCTCTCGCTCCCTGCCCTGCTCAGTCATCTTACATCACAAGGGAGTTTTTTTTATTAGCAACGTGTCATCCAGTAAACCACATTATCGCATATAGCCATGTTACTCCCATTTTATTAATTAGCAGGATCTCCTCCCGGCGCTCCCCACAAATCTGATCTGCACTTCTTTTCTCTCCCTGCCCTTTACTGACTCAGGGTCAGTCAGCTGGCTCAGTACACCTTATCTTGCACTTCTGCTTTGAGAAGAGGACACATTTAGTCCCAGTAAAGGTTTTTCTGTGTCTGTGTTTGTGTGTTTATTTATTGTAAAACAAGCGATGATGTTATAGTGCAGCACAACATACTCTGTACACTGTCCATTAGTGAAAATAAACAACTATACCTTCATTTTTTCCCTTGTCATCATTTCAAATGTTGGTATTTCATTGCATCATTGCATTCAGAAGTTACACAGACCCCAATTAGCATTTCTGACCTCTCTACTCTGCAATTACTATTATGAGCCTGGCCCCGCTAAGTATATCCCTCACGTTGACCAGTGTTTACATGCAGAAGTTCACAGTTAAAAGAAGAGCGCTTTTGAAAATACATAACCTAATGCAAACATTTAGCCATCAACATACTTGGTTGAATTCCTGGCATTTCTTTCCCTGTGGTGTAAGCGGTATGACGAAAAGCAAAATGACAGCTAATGTATATAATCATGTATTTGTGGCACATTCTCCTACAATTTAGGTTTGTTTATGTGATGTGAGTGTCAGAGATGATGTGTGGACAGGCTAAACACTGCACAACTTAAACAATCTGGTAGTACATCTGCTACCCACACGTTTTTGTTTTTACAGAAGCTCTAGAGAGAGAATACCAAGATGTCCAATTTGTAAGCCAGTTTTCCTCCTGCCTAGCGTGATGTATGGGCAAGTTAACTGAACATGGAGGAGTGGATGTGTAAACCTTGACTGTGACCCTGATCGTTGTTTATAAACACCAAATAAACCACATTATTAGAACATTATACTTTACCATATTTTGTTGTCTTGTAACTTCCTAATGCATCAATTGTATTGCTCATTTTGTCAGGATGCACTGTACATTCTGGCAGGTATGTAAGGAGGAGTCCCAGCTGAAGAAAAGTTATAACAGCATAGGAACGATATTAAAAGTTTCAATTTTTTTCACAAAAGCAGAGCAGTTTTGTCTAAAGAATTGAAAATGAGCAGTACTTGGGTTTTGATAAAAACATCACAACCCCAGGATCCCACATTAATCCATTGAAAAAGATTCATAATCTTGGCTTATTTCATGTCTTCCATCTCAGAGGCAATTTAAATGACCTCTTCGATTTATCTCTCCAGCCATCCTCCCCCCTTTTCTCTGCACACCTCTCTCCTCCCTGTCCCCAGATCCCTACCAGACTCCCCTTCGTCAGCACAACTCTTTATTTTCCTTTACTACAACAGTGGCAATAGAGTGCTGTCAGCCTGACAGTCCATCCCCTCTGAAGCAGGCTTTACCCCCCTGGCTGCCCTGCCTCTGCTGCTAACCCGCTTTCCAAAGGGCAGGAAGGCCCGTCTCTGGCCCAGTGCCTGATGGGCTCCGACAGCAGTGTGTTCTGGGATTATGCCCGCTGAAAAGGGGGGCATTCCAGCACCAGCAGCCTTTGTCACAGCACGGCCACTGTTTGCTTTTGACAAGACAGCTGTTCAAAGCCCTCCTGGCCCCCACGACTGGCGTTAAGGGAAAGAACCAAGAGGTGACATCCGTTTATTGGTGATGTTGTGGGATGTGTGGTATCACCTCACCTGAAGACGCTTCAGCAGTATATACATATGTCTGTGCATCTCACACAAATTGTTTTACATAATTACAATTGAGTGATAAATGCAAGTAAAAGTGACACAGAATTTTTTGAAATGTTATACCCTGTAGCTAAAATATATCTCTCCAACTAGGTGCATCTTTTTTCTTGACCGAAACTAAAATGGTAGTTGCTTAAACAAGGTGAAATTGGGTTGTCTGTATTATTGCATTTTGTCTACTGGACCATCCTTGACAGCTTTCCTCCCATTCTAATGTGTAAATGTAGGCCTAGCTGAGATTCCTGGGTCCTGATCTACCTTGTTTGTTTGTTGCCTTAATCTTCAGAGGTGAGCTTTGCATCTTTGTTGGTGATACGGCATCATTCAACCAAATGTTGCTTCAAAAATAAAGCAAATATGAAATACATGCTTGAAATGTTTGGGAACTCCCAATAGAACAACCTTCAAGTTCAGACGTGCAGGGGCCTCCTTCAGCAGGGGCCCTGGTTGGTACCCCAATTTCCCCGCTGTGTCGCCCTGTTGTGCATGTATGCGATTTTTTGAAGTGTGTACTGTAATTAGAGAGGTCATCCTAATGGAAGGCTTGTTGCCAGTGTAAGAGCAGCTGGTCCAACACAGGAATGTAATGAATGGAACGCCTGGACAGGAACCAGAGAGCTACACACCAGCTGCTACCCAAAGAGCCCCCATAGGTAAAAACACACACACACACACAGCTGCTACCCAACAGAGCCACTATAGTAAAACACACACACACACACACACACACACACACACACACACACACACACACACACACACACACACACACACACACACACACACACACACACACACACACACATCCCATGATGATCATACTAATAAAACAATTATGTTATATTGTATTATATTAACAATGTCTTGTTTTTAAAGATTGGTGTATTGTATTTGCAGTAAAATATGAGCTTCTTTGCTTAAAGGCTGAACATTATTTAACAACTGGACAATCTTGAGGAGGTGGCAGAGGGGAGGAGGAGGAGAAAGCTGGACAGTATCCTGGAGTACTCCTCCCACCCCCTCCATGCAGAGCTAGTGAGGATGAGGAGTACGTACAGCCACAGACTCATCCCTCCTCGGCACAGCACCAAGCGCCTGGGACAGTCCTTTGTGTCTGTAGCCATCAGGCTGCACAACAAGGGGTTAACAATGTGACACACACAAAAACTTTGACCTGCACACATCCATGTAAATATATTTAACAATCCGGACTCAAATGTATGTTCATTACATTAATTCTTGTTTTAACAGCTACTTACCTGTATATAATTGTAATGTTAACTTTATCTTTAATTGTATTAATCTACAGTGCATCTGTACTGTACTTTCGCTCTCACTCTGTTGCTGCTTAAACTCCTGAATTTCCCCACGGGGATTAATAACGTTCCATCTTATCTTATTTACTTGATAGTTTTTGTCTGTTTTGAAGGGAACTTTGGGGATATAGTTTTTGGGACATATTTGAGTGATGTTTAGCTGTTATATACGGAAGAGAATTAGGGCCACATGAAACATATTTTTTGGAAGTGACATTTTTTTCTTTTGGGAGAATTCTGAGGAAAATCCCCAAAGAATTGTTTTTATGTGGCCCTGATCCTCTTCCGTAGTTATACGTGTACTATAAAATATCAGCTATGAACCCCCGTCATTTAAAAACACCTTACATTACAATATATGAAAATGTTCAAGCAGTCATCAGTGGTATCTTTCTGCAGGAGCTCATAAATTCCACCCTGGAAATATGGCACCACCTTGTGTTGCTATTGACTTACTGCTCTACTTTACCAGAAACACAATTTATAAAACACAGGAAATGTTACTGTGTTAATGTGCTTAGAAATGTTTTATTGGGTATATGGTTTCAGTTTGAATACATGATATTAAATGAAAAGTTCAAACATTTTGACCACAAATGGTAATTTGTTGTTCCATCGTTTTAACCCAATTACCTTGTGAAATAATTGATTAGTGTACTTTATAAATCATGTATCCGGTAACATACAAAGTGATTATTAATTCCTATAGTTTTGAGTTTTTATATTCACAGCTTCATATTGTTTACGCTGTTCAAAACTCACTCAATCACATTGTGTAGAATTCAATACAATTTAGCAATATAAACAACTTATATAAAGCTAGGCGAAGCAGGGAAGAACATGAAAGAAATTCAAACTAAATCTTCTAATAATCAAACTAAGTGTCAGACAGTAAGCTGTAACAATGGAGACGAAGGCATGTGGCAAACAAAAGTCAGTACATACTGTACGTACATTTTGTGCTTAAGGCAAAAGTGATCTGACCGTTCAAAGTGTTTGGTGGAGGCAACTCCAGGAAGTTAGCGCTGACATTTTAACCTTACATACAGAACATTCCAGTTATAGACATATGATGTATAAGATATAATGAATATAAAAACAATCTATCATTATTTGTCAAACCATCTGTTGATAAGAAAACAAGTAGCCAATTATAAGTCTTTGGCAAATGGCGATATAGAAAATCTAATCCAACTCTGACCACCCGGGAGCTTGATAAAGCAGGGGAAGGAAAAGCAAACAAGTTAACAAATCACATTTGTGAGTGAAATATTTGACTATATCATCATGTCGGTAAAAAACTGAAAATAAGGAATTCATAGACAAATCTGACATTGAACTGAATATTCAGAAATGACAATTCAGTCATTCAAGAACAAAATTAAAATGTCTTAAACCAGCATTAAAAGCACACTTTAGTGTACTGAACATAGGCGAGGATGGAGAGCCAAGTGAGAGGATGAACTGTTGCCTTCTTTTTTTTCTGTAAACTGATTCAAAATGTTTGCTTTATTTGAGGTTTTTAATCTGTTGGTTCGTGTTTTGGATTTTTAGATCCATCTTGTCCACTTTATTCATCAGAGAATCAATGGAGTCGTCCTGGTCATTAATCTCAGCCTGGAGCCCAAGTCCGAGGCTCTTCAGTCTACTCAAGCCACTGCACATCTCATCTAGGTCATTCAGAAAGGACAGCGGACATTAGATAAAATGTGGTTTAGCAGGAAACACTTTCACACCTAACTTTGATTATACAGGACACTGAATAATAATTGATGGTTATACTTAAGAATAACACGTTTCATTGTAATGCACACTTCACATCATTATCTAGGAATAAATACAAGGGAACAAAACCAACAAGTTTTACCTAAATTATTGTCGAGGGTCAGGTGAGCCTGTTTGAGGTGTTGGTTCTGAGAGTATCCATTCTGCCTTGATGAGCTGTCACCTGTTGATGCAGAAGCTCCAAATGCTGGAACATAGAAATGAGAGACGGTGGAAGCCAGTTTCAGTGATGCAAACACAGGTATGGTGAAAAAAGAGAGAACTATTCGATACAGAAAAAAAACAGCGTAATATACCATCTGACAATGACAGATTTTTCTTTATGGATATTTTACAAATCACTCCCCTTTCAAACTCTATTCTTGTTATTTTTAACAACTTTTTTTTGTTACTGTCATATAGTATTTTATACC